TTCCGATTGCTTCAGGTATGTATCTAACTACCTATGTATTGGCTTAAACCCTTTTGATGTCCTCACTTTCAGTTTCAACCTCTGGAAATGCATAATAATGATTCAGAATGTGCTTATTATTGTTGCCATTGTTTATTTCTGTTGTAGTTGAGAAAAGACTGGCTGAAGAGGTTCGGAAGAACGATGTGTTGATTATTGTTGGTGAAACTGGAAGTGGAAAGACCACTCGTAGGTTACATTTTATCCTTATGGAGCACTTATTAGTTATTACAGTGTTATTTGTAATTTGGTTTTTCTGGAGAAAAAAAACGAAGAGGTTATAGGGATAGTGGGTTTTACTTGGTTGTGTTGTGCTTTGTAGAGATTCCACAGTTTCTGTTTGATGCTGGGTTTTGCCGCGATGGAAGGGTTATTGGGATAACGCAACCTCGACGTGTAGCTGCTGTCACTGTGGCCAAACGAGTTGCTGAGGAATGTGGTGTTGAGTTGGGCCAGAAGGTCGGGTATTCTGTTAGATTTGATGATGCTACCTCCGGGTCAACTAGGATCAAATATATGACAGATGGGTTGCTTTTGAGGTACAAGTTTTGCATAACATGGACTACTTGTTTGCTTTTTCTCTTAAGATCAATTTTATAAAACTTGGCCAATCAAAATGCAATCGTATGATTTTTTTCCTTCTTGATACTGAACTATAATAGATATATATCATTTAATTTTAGATGCGATTTTTTATAATTTTATTTGTGTAAAGTTAGTGGGATTCAAGGACTGGTGATTTGTTGAACAATTCCCCCTCTTATTGAGTAGGGTAGTGGGTTTAAGATGGTTACATAATTTGGAGCTGTTTAAAAGGTTTCAAATTAAAATATGTTGTTTCCCATAGTTTTATGAGTATAGGAGAGTTGATATGCATTTTGTTGTGCTTACAGGGAAGCATTATTGGATCCTTATCTTTCTAAGTATTCTGTTATTATTGTTGATGAAGCACATGAGAGGACTGTTCACACTGATGTCTTGATGGGGTTGCTAAAAAGTGTACAACTTGCTCGGTCAAGTTCTGTCAGTGATGGTCGAGGCCTAAATTTTGGAAACAAGAATGTGAATAATGTCATGTTGGAGAAAGAAAATGATCAGAGTGGTAGTTTTCTTAAAAAGCCCCGCCATGAGAAGTATGCTCCATTGAAGTTAATCATCATGTCTGCTAGTCTTGATGCACGTGCTTTCTCTGAGTACTTTGGTGGTGCCAAAGCCGTTCACATCCAAGGGAGACAGTTTCCTGTAGATATATTTTATACTCTCCATGCAGAGACAGATTATGTAGATGCTTCTTTGATAACAATATTCCAGGTCATTGCTTTATTCAGCCGATGAATTCAATATAATGTAATTCAAATTTTATTTTATTGTTAAATATTTTTGGATCCTAAACAATGCATTAGTCTCGGTGCATTCACTGTATTGGTTCAGCGTATCCATTTTTGGTATTTACGGTTTCATATATCATGAAGCATCCTATTCTATTCTTTCTATCGTGTTTGTGCACTGTCTCTTCTTTCTTGGTTATGTATTTTTGGATCATGCTTAACATTGTTGTGATGAACGAGAAATTAAGTTCATAAAATTTTTGTTTAAAGTCATATGTCCTTAATTTTATAGATTCATTTAGACGAGGGCCCTGGTGATATACTAGTATTTCTTACTGGGCAAGAAGAGATTGAATCTGTTGAAAGGCTTATCAATGAAAAACTCCCACAATTACCTCAAGAAAATCAGAAGCTTCTAGTTGTGCCTATATTTGCAGCTCTTCCATCTGAGCAGCAAATGCGTGTCTTTGCACCAGCTTCATCTGGGTTTCGAAAGGTACCCTAGATTTGCATTTGAACTCTCTAATTTATATTTGTTGTGGGTAGAATTCAATATAAAATAGGGAAAATAAGTGTTAGTTAATTATTTGTTAAACTGCTTTTATTTATTTTAAGCAGTTTTATGTGTCTTGTCGAAGTCACTACTCAATTCTCTTGAAACATGCTGTTTTATCTGATAATGTCTACAAATTTAAATTAATGCTGGTTGCATTATTTCGAGTCCCTGTAGGTTTAGGACACATGCTCATGATTTCATATGGCTTATCTTTTAATATGCAAATTTCATCGCTGGAAGTTCTCTTGGGCACATTTAACTTGTGTATGATCATTTCCCTCTTCATTGGCAATTGATAACAAATGTAGACAGCATTATGCACACGAACATTATCATTTTCTGTTTCTATCATTTGTACTGCACTGCCACTTCTATTAGCAATCACGCATACCATGAAGCATTTTTGTATTGAAACCAATGATCTGCCACTAATGAACCCATGGTCATACAGCCTATCAACATAAAGGGCCATTACAGCTACTATCATCTTTACCATCACCTTTATTACCACTCATGTTTTATTGCTCTCAACTAACACTGCTGCTCTAGAAACTAAGTGGTTTGAAATGGCTATAATTCCTATATATAATACATGGATATAATAAAATGGTATCTGCCGGACCTTATAATTTCTTACTTGAGCATCACCTATTTAATGTAAATTTATTTATATTTACGATAAACTCGTGATATTTATATCATATCAGGTAATACTTCTTTTTAATTGTATTAAACTTATCTCTGTTGTTTTTGAAGGTTATATTGGCAACTAATATTGCTGAGACATCAGTAACAATTCCTGGAATCAAATATGTAATTGATCCTGGATTTGTTAAAGCACGTTCCTATGACCCTGGAAAAGGCATGGAATCCTTGATTATAGTACCTACATCGAAGTCACAAGCTCTGCAAAGAAGGTGTGGTGCTACATTAGTCTGTTTAATGTTTAATTCCCGCAAGCAAATATTGGTTGAATTAATTCAATTAATGAAAATGAAGTAAGTTGGGTTCAGTTTGACTAAGGATGACTTCCTTTCATTTTTGTTTGATAAGTGACATCACTGGTTTTCCTCAATAAAACATGGTGTTGCAAATTAGGACATTTTAGATGGGAATCTAGCATCAATCTATCTAGTACTTCTTATTTATTTGCTTGTAGATAAGTATGCTTGCAGTGCTTGTCCATTTTAAATTGTTTGTTGGTGAATGTGGAAGACTATAAACCTTGTACCATATCTTATGAAAAAGAATAAACCTTAACCTGTTAATGTAAAGTATCATTTTCTTTTTCATAAAAAAATATTTTTAAGTTTTGAACATTTTTATTTTATACAATTGCTCGTTCTTGAATTATGATTTATGTTATGTTTTTCTTATTAAATGTTATTTTGGTTATAATAAAACGATTGGTATGCTGTTAATATTAAATAATTTTACTAGAAAAGTAATGCAAATTGATTATTAATATTGTCCTTTTTTGGTATTAGTGGGCGTGCAGGGCGTGAAGGACCTGGAAAATGCTTCCGCTTATATCCAGAAAAAGAATTTGAGAAACTCGAGGATTCAACATTGCCAGAGATTAAGCGGTGCAACCTTTCTAATGTCATTTTGCAACTTAAGGCTTTGGGTGTTGATGACATTCTAGGGTTCGATTTCATTGAGAAACCTCCAAGGTGAGACAACCTTCCAGAATTTCGGTCTGCCAGTTTCCCTACATTT